GATGAACCTCACAGGCTCGCCAATTTACAATATGATCTCTCAACTTAACAAGTGTAATGTAAACCAGTTAGTTATTATGAGTATGGAAAATGTCTTTTCCTGCATTTATTCGGCTTCAGGGGTCAGTCTGTTGACTGTAAACAACACAACAAACAATGCAATAAATAGTTTTCAAGAAAAATTTGCTTTGTCATTGAACCTGAGAAAAACTTTGAAAATAACCATAATGATGTAGTCTCCATGCTGTAATATGAACAATAAAAACATTTTTAACTGCGGAGACATACAAGTACAATTCAGCTGTATTATTTGTGTCCCCTTTAAAAAATCTTTAAAAAATTGCTCATAAGAAATGTTATATTTATTGTCCCCCCTACTGTTAAATCAAATGAATGGCCATGGCCGGACCATGTCTAATCCTCCTTGCCATTGAAAAGCATGAGGAAGCATCTGCAGGTATGTAAGCTAGCGTTTCTTTGTTTCATAAAAGCAAATGTTTTTGTCGTTATCGTGAGTGTACAGAAATAAAAACAGACCCTTTAATTTCTAATGATATATTATGATTTATAAAGTTATCGATTTGTGAATTTCAGGGCACCAGCAGACTCCTCTGGCCAAAGTGATGTTATCACATTACCAGTGTAGCTAGCTTAACTACATTTCTCAGTAGCGTGACGGTAGCGTCGCTAAAAAATCAAATAGCTTTTCACAGTAGCGAAGCTATTTTATTAGTGAAGTAGCGCAGTAGTGTCCACACAAGCTACATTTACAGATCGCGGATCAATATTGTTTAAAATGTGTAACACCTGGTTTTATTGGATTTTTTTGTTTTTACTGTTATGTACTATAATTTATTCCTGTTTGGTACAGCATATTATTTACAGTAAATAATTGAAATGAACAGTTCTGCCTCATATGTTTCATTGGCAGTTTTATTGATTACTAAGATGTGATTTGATTTGGATTAAAGTGGCTTCGATTTAAAAATGAAAATTTAAAAAATTAGATGTATTTTTTATTGCAAATGCCACATAAATCACCTGCACAACTAACTAACACTGTGATTTTGTAACAACAGTAAACATGTTTTTGTGATAAGGTCTGGTTTTGTGGTGGCTCTACTTTAAATTTAAATAAATTGAATTAATTTTATTTAAGTGATGAAAGCTTTTGAGATTCTAACAGTAAACAGAGCTACTGTAAGCTCACTCCTGCTCTGTATAAATGCTTGAAAATTATTTAGTTGAAAATGTTTATTAGAAAATTAAAAGTAATCAAAAAGTAATCAAATGTAATTAGTTACTTTACTTTTATAAAGTAATCGAATATTACAGTAACTTATTACATTTTAAATAGGATAATTTGTAATCTTTAATCTATTACATTTCCAAAGTAACCTTCCCAACACTGACAACAAAATAGTTTGGACTTCATGTCATGTAGGAGACATTAAATAGATCAATGATAACTGCAGAATGTCTTTCTGCTGTTGTGGCAATGAATGGACACTCAACAATTGAAAAGATTCCTTCCATGCCATAGAAGCGTGACTTGATCAGTACTTATCTACACAGCATGCTGGCATCAAAGATCCTATTTCTCTTATATCATATCCCTAGTCTTCCACACTTTAGGAAACGTAAACATTCAGGACGTGCCATTAGCACAGCCTGCACTAAAAGAAGGCTGGAGATAACGGATGGCAACACAGAGTGCGACACCAATGTCACCTTGAAAAACCTGCCGTGACCCGGATTCGAACCGGGGTTGCTGCGGCCACAACGCAGAGTACTAACCACTATACGATCACGGCGAGCTACGAAACAGCCGTTGTGACCTATGTGTGGTATGTTCCTGCCTGTGATAAGCCCCTTTCTCTTCAGTGAGAAGACTCTGTTGTTTTTCTCCTCCTACCAGCACAACGCTTTTCCCAAGAAACAATGGAAATGCAAACAATTGATGACTGCTGCAAATTTAAAAATGGGGAGGACGTAGTCAGCAGGGTTCGAACCTGCGCGGGGAGACCCCAATGGATTTCTAGTCCATCGCCTTAACCACTCGGCCACGACTACAAGACTCCCTTCATGCCATTTCTTTATGCCTAGTACACATATTGTGCATCCAGATGAAACTTTCATCAAGCGATAGCTCAACGGCAAAAGCTGTGGCTCCACAAAATGAGCGTCATACGCCCGAACAGGGACTTGAACCCTGGACCCTCAGATTAAAAGTCTGATGCTCTACCGACTGAGCTATCCGGGCTCCACAACAGTAATTTACAAGTAGGCAAGGTTTGGGTTGTGGTCGGCGCAGACCTTTACAGTACACTAAAGTTTACCGTGAGATGGGGTTTTAAGCTTATGGTTGGTGTGGATGATTTCTAGTCCATCGCCTTAACCACTCGGCCACGACTACAAGACTGCCTTCATGCCATTTCTTTATGCCTAGTACACATATTGTGCATCCAGATGAAACTTTCATCAAGCGATAGCTCAACAGCAAAAGCTGTGGCTCCACAAAATGAGCGTCACACGCCCGAACAGGGACTTGAACCCTGGACCCTCAGATTAAAAGTCTGATGCTCTACCGACTGAGCTATCCGGGCTCCAAAACAGTAATTTACAAGTAGGCAAGGTTTGGGCTGTGGTCGGCGCAGACCTTTACAGTACACTAAAGTTTACCGTGAGATGGGGTTTTAAGCTTATGGTTGGTGTGGATGTTGCTAAAACACGACAGGTTACTTTGAGGTTGGGTTTATGGTTTTTGTAGGTGTAGACATCAGTACAACACAATAGTTTGGACTTCATGTCATGTAGGAGACATTAAATAGATCAATGATAACTGCAGAATGTCTTTCTGCTGTTGTGGCAATGAATGGACACTCAACAATTGAAAAGATTCCTTCCATGCCTTAGAAGCGTGACTTGATCAGTACTTATCTACACAGCATGCTGGCATCAAAGATCCTATTTCTCTTATATCATATCCCTAGTCCTCCACACTTTAGGAAACGTAAACATTCAGGATGTGCCATTAGCACAGCCTGCACTAAAAGAAGGCTGGAGATAACGGATAGCAACACAGAGTGCGACACCAATGTCACCTTGAAAATCCTGCCGTGACCCGGACTCAAACCGGGGTTGCTGTGGCCACAATGCAGAGTACTAACCACTATACGATCACGGCGAGCTACGAAACAGCCGTTGTGACCTATGTGTGGTATGTTCCTCCCTGTGATAAGCCCCTTTCTCTTCAGTGAGAAGACTCTGTTGTTTTTCTCCTCCTACCAGCACAACGCTTTTCCCAAGAAACAATGGAAATGCAAACAATTGATGACTGCTGCAAATTTAAAAATGGGGAGGACGTAGTCAGCAGGATTCGAACCTGCGCAGGGAGACCCCAATGGATTTCTAGTCCATCGCCTTAACCACTCGGCCACGACTACAAGACTGCCTTCATGCCATTTCTTTATGCCTAGTACACATATTGTGCATCCAGATGAAACTTTCATCAAGCGGGTTTGGGTTGTGGTCGGCGCAGACCTTTACAGTACACTAAAGTTTACCGTGAGATGGGGTTTTAAGCTTATGGTTGGTGTGGATGGTGCTAAAACATGACAGGTTACTTTAAGGTTGACAAGATTACAACGGGATTACGAATGGCAACACAGAGTGCAACTCCAATGTCACCTTGAAAAATCTGCCGTGACCCAGATTCGAACCGGGGTTGCTGCGGCCACAACGCAGAGTACTAACCACTATACTATCACAACGAGCTACGGGAAAGCCACTGGCCCTTCACTCTCTGTCATATGTCTTTAAAAATTGAAGCCCCCCAGAGCAGTCAGTTAGCATGCGCTGCCATTTGATTTTTGGTGCTTTTCCCTTTCAGCACAACCCTTTTCCCAAATAACAATGGAGTTGCAAACAATCATGGAATGTCACAAACTAAATCCTGTGCACTGCCTGGACGTAGTCGGCAGGGTTCGAACCTGCGCGGGGAGACCTCAATGGATTTTGAGTCCATCGCCTTAACCACTCGGCCACGACTACAAGACTGCCATCATACCATTTCTTTATGCCTAGTACACATATTGTGCATCCAGATGAAACTTTCATCAAGCGATAGCTCAACGTCAAAAGCTGTGGCTCCACAAAATGAGCGTCATACGCCCGAACAGGGACTTGAACCCTGGACCCTCAGATTAAAAGTCTGATGCTCTACCGACTGAGCTATCCGGGCTCCACAACAGTAATTCACAAGTAGGCAAGTTTTGGGTTGTGGTCGGCGCAGACCTTTACAGTACACTAAAGTTTACCGTGAGATGGGGTTTTAAGCTTATGGTTGGTGTGGATGTTGCTAAAACACGACAGGTTACTTTGAGGTTGTGTTTATGGATGTTGTAGGTGTAGACATCAGTACAACACAATAGTTTGGACTTCATGTCATGTAGGAGACATTAAATAGATCAATGATAACTGCAGAATGTCTTTCTGCTGTTGTGGCAATGAATGGACACTCAACAATTGAAAAGATTCCTTCCATGCCTTAGAAGCGTGACTTGATCAGTACTTATCTACACAGCATGCTGGCATCAAAGATCCTATTTCTCTTATATCATATCCCTAGTCTTCCACACTTTAGGAAACGTAAACATTCAGGACGTGCCATTAGCACAGCCTGCACTAAAAGAAGGCTGGAGATAACGGATGGCAACACAGAGCGCGACACCAATGTCACCTTGAAAATCCTGCCGTGACCCGGATTCGAACCGGGGTTGCTGCGGCCACAACGCAGAGTACTAACCACTATACGATCACGGCGAGCTACGAAACAGCCGTTGTGACCTATGTGTGGTATGGTCGTCCCTGTGATAAGCCCCTTTCTCTTCAGTGAGAAGACTTTGTTGTTTTTCTCCTCCTACCAGCACAACGCTTTTCCCAAGAAACAATGGAAATGCAAACAATTGATGACTGCTGCAAATTTAAAAACGGGGAGGACGTAGTCAGCAGGATTCGAACCTGCGCGGGTAGACCCCAACGAATTTCGAGTCTATCGCCTTAACTACTCGGCCACGATTACAAGACTGCCTGTACTGCCATTTCTTTATGCCTAGTACACATATTGTGCATCCAGATGAAACTTTCATCAAGCGATAGCTCAACGGCAAAAGCTGTGGCTCCACAAAATGAGCGTCATACGCCCGAACAGGGACTTGAACCCTGGACCCTCAGATTAAAAGTCTGATGCTCTACCGACTGAGCTATCCAGGCTCCACAACAGTAATTTACAAGTAGGCAAGGTTTGGGTGTGGTCGGCGCAGACCTTTACAGTACACTAAAGTTTACCGTGAGATGGGGTTTTAAGCTTATGGTTGGTGTGGATGTTGCTAAAACACGACAGGTTACTTTAAGGTTGACAAGATTACGATTGGCAACACAGAGTGCAACTCCAATGTCACCTTGAAAAATCTGCCGTGACTCAGATTCAAAACGGGGTTGCTGCGGCCACAACGCAGAGTACTAACCACTATACTATCACGACGAGCTACGGGAAAGCCACTGGCCCTTCTCTCTCTGTCATATGTCTTTAAAAATTGAAGGCCCCCAGAGCAGTCAGTTAGCATGCGCTGCCATTTTATTTTTGGTGCTTTTCCCTTCCAGGGCAACCCTTTTCCCAAGAAACAATGGAGTTGCAAACAATCATGGAATGTCACAAACTAAATCCTGCGCACTGCCTGGACGTAGTCGGCAGGGTTCGAACCTGCGCGGGGAGACCCCAATGGATTTCGAGTCCATCGCCTTAACCACTCGGCCACGACTACAAGACTGCTTGGACTGTCATGTCCTCATGTCTAGTACACTTGTTGTGCATGCAGATAAATCTTTCGGCAAGCGACATCTCAACGGCATAAGCTGTGGCTCCACAAAAAGAGCCTTACACGCCCAAACAGGGACTTGAACCCTGGACCCTCACATTAAAAGTGTGATGCTCTACTGACTGAGCTATCCAGGCTCCATGGCTTGGCTTTACAAGCAGGCAAAGTGTAGGGTTGTGGTGGGCACAGACCTTTACGGCACACAAAAGTTTACCGTGAGGTGGGGTTTAGGTTTATGGTTGGTGTAGATGTTGCTAAAACACAACAGTTTACTGTGAGGTTTGGGTTAATGGTTGTTGTAGGTGTAGACATCAGGGGGGTATTCCAGAAAGCTGGGTAAACTTACCATCTGCTAAACCTGAACTCTCGGTTGATTTACCCAAAACCTGCTTACCGCGAGTATGTTGGTTCCAAAACAGGTGATAAGAGTTAGTTAAATCAACCTCCTGAAGATAACCGCGGGTTAATGGGCGTGCACGGCACACACCTGAAGGCATTTTCAGTAGATCGCCGAATTCACGAGTCGCCATAGAAAGTCACGGTGAGAAAAAAGGCAACGCAGAGGCGAAGCTGGAGGTTTTAATCACAGAGATTACACATCTGCTTCAACGAAGGAAAGAAATATAGAATAAGAAAAAGATAAGAAAAGAAAAAATAAATAATAAGAAAGTTTGTTAGTTCATTAAATTACACGTGGCACCCTCCATTTTATTCATTGTATTGAACAATTAAACTTCTCTTTAACATCCTTTTGAGTATGTTGTGTAACCATTCATGCATTTATTTTTCTTGCCATTAATTTCTTAAGGCCACTATATGTGTATTGACTAATAAGGCTTATAGAAATTGTAATCTTTCTGGAGCTAGAACTCTGTCCAAAGTCATTAAACACAGAAACATTCTCCTAAAAGGTAATATTTAATTACTGGAGCTCTTTATTTAACACTCTAGAATATTCTTTCTGTCATGCAGCTAATAGAAAGAGGCCTGTCTAACTGCTTTTTTTTGTCTAACTGCTAAGTTTTTGACTTAAACCACACAATCTGTCCCTGTTGAAAGTGATTGTTGTCAGGTAGCTTTAGGTTCTTTTTATGCTTTTTATTTTGCATGCAGACGAAGTTCCTTCTGCTTCAACTAACAAGCAGTGTAAGAATTTGTCTGCACTTTTCCATATTTGAATATTGCTCTTGGATCACAATATATATATATATATATATATATATATATATATATATATACTTTAAATTCTTAAGTAGCTGTATAAGGTCCATCTTCAAATATAAATAAAGTCACATGAGCATCACCTTAAGGTGAGAAATTTATATATATGTTACACGTTGAAATGTGCGTGTATAAAGCAGTGTAAAAAAATCATTCAATTTATTTCAGGAAATGAAGAAATGAACAGACCAAAATATTTGATTAAACAGTTTTTTGACAAATTATATTTCTCAGCACTCTTTCATCTCTTTTGTCTGCTTGGGTCACTGAGATTTCCTCTGGGTCAGGCTGTAGATAGCGTGTCATCGTATAAGGCAGAAAAGGGTATCTTTTGTCCTCCAGCAAGAAACAATGTAGTGCCCAGTAATGATTCTATTTTATAATACAAATATAATAAGAATAAACATTGTGTAAAGCAACATTTGCTTTATTTATTTATTTATTTATTTTTTTACTATATTTGTGTTATACAGCCTCAACATATACTGATGAGGTGGGGTCATCTCATATGTGCTGGTAGGATGAAGCAGTAATGAGTTTAATAGTTGAAACACCAAAAGATTGAGGACAGAAAATTAAGTTGTACCTGCACATTTATACTATGGACAGATTTCATATTATCAGTGTCCTTTAGTGACTGATGGAGCTTTAAAATTGGCTGCAATTAATGCACACAATAGCATTTAGAAACCCTGAAAAAAATATTATATTAAACAATGTAGGTGTGTGTGCATGAATGTATACATATGAACGACGTCCTACACCTTAAATTATAGGTATATTTTCCTACTAGATTTGAACTTGCTCCGCTGTGAGCTCCGTGGTTCATTAACAACACACTGTCCACTACACTATTGCCGTGCTCTGAATCAACTGTGTAATGATACGCAGCGATTTATGACCAAGTAACTGTACAAAAGTGTAAAAAACAGTTCAGTGCCAGGCATACTGTACAGGTGCTCATGCTGCCACATTGTACAGTTGCCTAAAATGCCCTGACGCGAATACAAATAGCTGCACTGAATGTTTTTTATGGTAAGCGCAGACCCGCGGTTTGTCACATTTGATTTCAAAAAGGTTTGTTAAATACATTAACATTATAAATTTGGTTATGAAAAAAAACTATGCACTTATAACCCTCTAACAAGGAAAAAACTTGTATCTGTGCCTCCACATCCATAAATATTCTCATCAAAAGAGCACGCAATGCTCAGTAAACTCTCTGAAACAGACAAACTCTGGAACATAGCAACTTACTCTCTAAACATAACCTGCTCCGGAGCAGGTTATCTTTAGAGAGTAAGTTGCTATGGCTACTTAACATACCCAGATGTTACCTCCGATTTTGGAACCAAAGCTGAGGTTATCTACCTACTTACTCTCAAACTTACCCGGGTATGTCACATAACCTGCTTTCTGGAACAGCCGCCTGGAGACAACAACAATAAAATATCATAACTCTATTCAAGTTCTTTCATGAACCTATTTGTTTTATTTGTATATAGCCTGCTGATCAATGGAAATAAAATTCATTGCCATTGAAATATGTTAGGCTACCTCATATGCTGACTGATTATAATATTTAACAAAGGGATAAAGGTTATGTGTCAGTCCATTACCTTCCTCTTTTATAAAGCAATATTGACCAGACTTACTCATGTTTAGATACAGTTGATCTGATCTTTAGGTCACTGAATCCGATGGGTAAAAACTATATATACTATATATTGAAGGATGTTGTAAACCTTGACATTGTTACGACCTCAAAAATGTCTAGGGCTGAAGTCGAACATAAAAATTATAGAGAAAATAAATAAACAGTTAGCAGGTTTGATTTTTAAATGACCTTTAAGGTTCTTTTATTGTGAGAAGGTGGAAAAGGTTTGTATTTACAATAAACAAATAAATGAGCGCAAACAAAAAGCTTCAGGGCTGAGCAAGGCCAAAATAACAAACAAAACATTTACTAACTCCACCCCGAAGATAACTTACCTACTGAATCAAAAAATAAATGAAGAAAATAAATTACAAACACTACCCTTACTCCTTAACTAAATGAAAAAACAGGAGAAAATCAGTGTCAAAGTAAATGGCACTCAGCCCCTACGGCGCTCAGCTCACAGCTTTATCAAACAGTATTTGACAGTCACAAAAATTGGAGGGGAGAGGAAAAAGGGAGAGAACACCTTAATGTTCACAATTCATAAACAACCAGTAGCACTATGATATGTTTCACACGAACGCCACACTCTTAGAAAACTCTCCGTCTCTCCCCCCAGCGATCTGACTCCGTCGGTTCCTTTTCAAAAGATGCTGACTTCTCCCAGCACCAACCACAGCGCACGCACGCAGCACGTCCAATTAGGGCGGGGTAACCTGGAAACAGGAACGGGACAGGACGAGAGAGGGAAAAAGAGAGACACACACACACAGCAGCACAGAAACAACCCAATACGCACTTGCGTAACAGTATTAATATTGTAAAACTTAATAACTGTCGCTTTGCCTAAATCATCAAATATTCATCAAGTTTGTATTCTACTCAAAAAAGTAAATGTAGTAAACTAAAAAGAATCTTGAACCTAAAAGTAAAGAAACTTTACTGATAAAAGCTGCAACACAGGACAATTGAATGGGCTTTCTAAACTTGAGTCCCTGGTATACTGCTAACTAACCGCCTTGGAGCTCCACCTTCTTTAATGTGCGGTGTCTTCCCATTGATTTGTTTCTCATTCAGGGAGTCAGACAGAGAACATTATCCAAAACAACACCAGCTACATGACACACTGGAGAGTGGAGTACAGATGTATCCGCACCTGTACAATCACTTGCAAAGAGATTTTAAGCCGCTGAGGTGCTGTTTGCCAGATGTTTTTGAAACTGTTCTTCTCTCAGCCGTCATCATTGTGTTTGCGGTAAACACGAGGAGTGCAACACATATCCAACACCACCTACTGCAGTGTAGGAGTGTTAAAAACAGTAT